TTTTAGAAAAAATCATGTGGAACTTTTACCAAAACGAAAATCGTTGATATAAGAAGCTTAAAACTTTAGACATAAGCAGTAAGCAATCAATAAGCAATGTAACTACTTTAACACTTTTCTTTTAGTTTTCATTGTATAGTGACAAAATCAGTTTGTTTTGGAAATATAAAATTGGAAACAGTTAAGAAATAGGAGAGAATTCTTGCTATTACTATGGTTATAACAAATAGTTTTGCGAAGTAATAGCTAGTGACTAAAACAACCCGCCAACGTATACAGAGAGAATAAAACTTACGTTGCTCGCGCAGCAGAGACAGCACTAAACGCCGATACTATTTTATTAATAGTTTATATTATTAATCGGAACCATTGTTAAAATAAAAACGTAATTATTATTGCACAATTGATACATTATATCATACAAAAATAAAAGTAAAACAAAAGTACTGGTATGCTAGGGAATAAAACCTAGTTAAAGAGCGAATATAAAGCTAGGAGACGAAAAATTAGAAGAACTGGTCGATTTTAGGTATCTAGGAAGTCAGATAAGTCATGACAGAAGGAGTAGTAGGGATATAAAGCAGAGGATAGCGCAGGGTCGAGTCGCCATCAATAAAAAGAAGTCACTTCTGTGCCCGCGAACGGTTAATTTAAAAATTCGAAGAATGTTGTTAAAAAGGTATATATTGCACACAGCGCTGTACGGGTGCGAAACATAGACAGTGGGCGCAGCGGAAAAGAAAAGGTTAGAAGCGTTCCAAATGTGGTGTTACAGGCGAATGATAAGGATACCGTGGATGGATAGATTAGAAACGAAGAGGTATTAGAAAGAATAGGAGAACAGAGGACTCTATGGAAGTCAATAAAACATAGGCGAGATAGGTTAGTAGGATACCTTCTCAGAAATGAAGGTCTAGTCAGAGACATATTAGAGGCAGAAACGGGAGGGGTAGAGGTGGACCTAGATTAGATTAATATTCACAAATAGTTAAGGATGTAAGATGTTCTAGTTTTAGGGAAATGCGAAGATTAGCTCAGGATAGGAAAGAGTGGAGGTGCGTGTCAAACCAATTTTAGCACTGACGACCTTATGATAATGATGATCGTCCAAAGAAATATATAAATAGTGCCTATAACATCCAACGCGCGTATATGAGTATAATACCTAGCAACTTTTTTGTTTGTCTAACAGCCCACCTACTTAATACACCCTGTATAGTGAAATTAGAATGTTGCATTATACGGCATATTATTACTTTACATTCTAGGAAATATAAGTCGGAACATCTATGTATATACTAATTTTATTGATAATTTTTATGTAAAAAACCTCTTACAAACTTTATTGCACTGTAAGAGTCATAATTACGTCTTATACGCCGATTAGAAGGCCTTTTGTTCAATTTTTTATTGAACATGCGTATATACTTAGGTATATCACGCAGTTAGCAACAATTTATAGGCGTATTATAATATAAATTGATAAAGAGTGTTCATCAACATTAACAAATTTGTTTTTTTGTACCTCTAGTACTTTTAGGTACTTAACAAGTTTACATACAATTCATGAGTCACTCACAGTAGTACGTAATACTGGATAAAAGTGTGTAATATGCAAATATAACTTATGTGCATTATGTAATACGTTTTAAATTGATATTTATGGTTAATTGAAAGAAATCAAATCAATAAAGTAGGGTAAGATTTTTTTTTTAATCGACACCAACATTTCGCCATTGTTTATGAAACTTTTTAAAGACTACAATACTTGTAATTAATAATGGCATTATATTGCATTATATTTTATTTCTTAATACTTACTAGTTTTTATAGTTAATAGACAGTTTTTTCGAAGTGGTGTGGTTTCAACATTAAATACTATACATATTGTAGTATAATAACTAATGAATTATAGTAGATAAGCAATGACAGTTCTGGACCAAAATTTCATATATTTTCATATGAAGGTCCATTTTCAGACTTAATACCGTTTTACCCCCTCCACTTCTACGCTGACGTCACGGCTGTCTGCCGTCTTTGACAGCTGTCGTTGTCTCAGGTGCGGACGTCCCATTTGCGTACACGGTGGTTAACTTTACCACTTGCGGACAGGGTGGTAGCAGTTAAATAAATTTGAGGTATACAGCAACGATGGACGACTAACGGACGCCGGTCCAGGTCCGGACCTGGGAAGGTCATTAACTGGACCGCAAAATATTTTTTGAAAGTAAATTACTGAAATGAATTATTGAAAATATATTTTTCTGTAGATAGCAAAGTACGTTCGAGCATTGAGCATAGCCCTTATCATTTTCTCTATAAAAAATTTTAATTTCATTTGGACCCCACCTAGAATTACTTGCCGAATCCCAATCACATATTGTGCTGATATTTATCATTTTATTGCATTTTAAAAAATAAAAACTGCAGTGTAACTATAAAAAAAACTTTTGGGTGTTTCATTCCCACCAGCCACTAATGCTGGTGAGTGGGCAGTCCGTCCGGACTACGCTGGAAGGTGGGGTGGAAGACCCTCTTCAGCCTGCTTTCAGGAATCGTGGGAATGGGTGGGTGATGGTTCGGATGAGAAAGATGAGACGGACGAAATGAAGACAGAAGAGAATGAAAGATTATCTGTGGAATATTACTGCCCCAGCATTTGCCTAAGTGATCACAGAAAAACCTGGACCAAGGCAGACGGACCCGGAATTGAACCGGCGTCCTTCCGAATGCTAAGCAATGGTCTAAATCTCTAGGCCATGCCTATCGGTAGTGTAACTATAGAGAGTATAGGAAGTTATACCAGATTTTTGCCATGTTTTTTAAACTCCGCCCATTAGACTGAACTCATCTGTATTATTATAAAGTCCACAAAATTATACCTTGATTTGGGTCTAAAGGCTATTATCGATTGGAGTTGCTTCTTAACGTTTTGCTAGCACGAGTGACGAGTTTCTTCGGAGGTCCTTCCATTTCCTACATTGGATGTGGACTGTGACGAATCAGAAGTCAGCACAGTATAAGTTCACCTGCTGCTGCGAAAGTCTTTACCAATTTGCTAATGCTTCTATTATGAAACCGTTACAGGAATATCCTTGTGTCATGCATTAATATAATTTAATATTAATTAATTATTTCGCCAAAGGCTTGTAAGGTTCGGCTAATTTTATCGTTAATTTTAACGTAGATTTTTTTCTTCCTTTTCCTTCTAGATTGAATTGTTTCTTTTTACACAAAAAGTAATTCCTTTGACTTTCTTTCTTTAAATTTCTAATTACCGAAGATGTTGAGTGCGGCTTTATTTGTGTATATGTGTATGTGGTAGTAATAATATAATCATTTCCTTACTAATAATAATAATTGCTGTTATACCTTTCACCTTTCATCCCCTCAACGTTGAATAAATATGTTCATAAACTCTTATCTATTTATTTTGGAATCGTTAATTTTGCTTTATATAGAGCGTAATACATAATTTGTCCGCAAATCGGAATTCTCTTCATTACGAAAACCTGTATATCCGTAAACGGTACGTTTAATTGCTTGTGCGCAGATGGGATGACCACATCTGGAAGACACCATAATTAATGAGGTAGTGACATTAAAATATATAACAACACCAGTATATAGTCAGAAGGCCGTCAGTCGTAAAACTGGTTGGACACGTACCTCCACTCTTTCCTATCCTGAGCTAATCTTCGCATTTCCCTAAAACTACAACAACCCATATCCTTAACTATTTGTAAAAAACAGTAATCTAATCTAGGTCTACCTCTACCCCTCCTAATTTCCGTTTCTGTCTCTAATATGTCTCTGACTAGACCTTCATGTCTGAGAAGGTGTCCTACTAACCTATCTCGCCTGTTTCTTACTGACTTCCATAGAATCCTCTGTTCTCCTATTTTTTCTAATACCTCTTCATTTCTAACTTTCTCTCTATCCACGGTATCCTCATCATTCGTCTGTAAAAACTTAAAACTACGAATGTAAAGATAAAATGATAAAACACGATGTGAGCAATCAAAGCTACGACTAAATTGACCATCGGTACAGTTTGATGAAGAATAAAACGTAATAAAAAGTGTAACATAATAATAAAAGGTTAGGTAGGTGTGTAGTGTATATAAATATATAAGTCAGTTAGTTAGTTTTTAGTTGGTAGTTAGTTAATTTGAATTTTTTGTATGACGTTAATAGTCGTAAATAATTTTTATTTTAGTTATAAATGTCGCAATAATTATTGACTATCAAATCCGTAGCTTTGTTTTCCTGTAACAATATAAATGCGAGCCCTCTAAAAAAACTAAACGCTTAAAATATTTTTTTTCTATGGAGAAACTTGATCAGTATCAAATTGGTAAAGTGAACTGATGCTGCTCTGATTTAGGTCTAAAGTCGTATGTGTTTCGCAATTTTCCCTTTTAACATTTGCGATGGTGTCATCATAAGGTCGTCAGTCCTAAAACTGGTTGAACACGCACCTCCACTCCTTCCTATCCTGAGCTAATCTTCTCATTTCCCTAAAACTCGAACATCCCACGTCCTTAACTATTTGTAAACATTAATCTAATCTAGGTCTACCTTTACTCCTCTTAACTCCTCTTTCTGCCTCTAACAAGTCTCTGACTAGACCATCATGCCTGAGAAGGTGTCCTACCAACCTATTTCGCCTATTTTTTATCGACTTCTATAGAGTCGTCTGTTCTTCTATTCTTTCCTACTAATTTTGACAATATCATAGCCCTTCATGCATAAAACAGCTATTTTCGGCGTTTATTTATAGTGGCCTCATTTATAACGTATAGGGAAATAAAGCTATAAACTAGCATATGTACTATATAATTTTTTTTATGTAACACTTTCTATATCAGTTTATTCCTTATCAAATTGTACTGATTGACAACTTAATCGTTTGTCTGATTGTTCGCCACGTGCTTCTTAACTATTTATAATATTTATCACTTTATCTTTACAATCGTGTAGTCGTTATTGTAACGTTATTGCTTTTATATATTCTTTTTATTCTTTTATATAGACTGGTGTTATTTATATTCTAATACTTATACTGTACAAAATATGGAAGTAACTGTCTATTAACTTTAAAACTTATCGTTAGTAAGTATTAACATATACATATATTGTAAAAAAATAAAATATAATTAATTACAAACATTATAGCCCTGAAGTAGCCACACAGTTGGAGAAAAAGCATTGGTGTCGGTTTTATATCATTAAAAAGTTTACGATATTACATTGACTTTATTTTTCCCATATATGTGTACAATAGGGGGATGAAATGGAAACTTAGTTGATGGCAAATTATTAAAAATTATGTGGGCCCCTTTGCAACCTGGCAGTTCGCCTGTAGATTGGTGTGAAGAGAATTACACAGTCACATTGGCTGTAGCCGAATTTGTCAATACTGTAAGTAGCAAAAATTACCAAAATTAATATCTATCCTTCGCTCAAAAAGGCGCAAAGTTTCCCAGTTACAAAAGCAAATTAGTCCGTGTTTTGTCGGCGTGCTGAGGAGAGCCAAAGAGTTCGAAATCGCTATCTACGTATGGCATTTTGACAGAAAATTGCTTACCAAGAAATTTTTGTTCGGTTTTGTTCTAGAAATGTTACACAATAACCAATAGTAATCATTTGTTTTCCGATAAAATTATACACTTCCGGAGGGTGTGGAAAACTTTGCGTCTTTTTGTACATTTTAGTATTACTGTTTTCATTGTTGTGCTTTTTCAGATAAGCAATATCGTATTCTTAATATTCCCACCACTCCTGGTTCCTCTTTTCAAAAACTATTCGGAAAAAGTTAACCGGTATATAAATGTGTTTTGGTTGCTTTTTATTGTCGTTGGACTGTCGTCGGCGTATTTCCATGCCACATTAAGTTTAATAGGGCAGTTACTAGACGAACTGTCGATTTTATGGATGTTTTGCATTGGCTATTGTTTATTTTTTCCAAGAAAATACTTTCCAAAGTTTGTGCAAAATAACAGGCAAGTGGATGTTTCAGTTGCAATTTCTTTTTAATATTTTGATTCCACTATTAATTAGCAAAGACTGAAACTGTTTTTAATTTAATCGACGATTTAGTGGACGCAATTCAGTCGAATTACAAACTTTATTGTTTATTATTGTAGTCCGTACTGTTACTGTTTTGAAAGTTAAAAACGAAGTATTGAATGAGTAAAGTTCTTAAATACCCAAAACACAGGGTGTAACAGAAATAAGCGCCGAGCTTTGGAGGGGTGGAAACTAGATGCAATAAACAATTGCATAGTCAGTTCAACAGCGTGGTTAAGGGCAAAATGTTTTTTAAGAAAATCACAATCATTTAATTACTCAAACCGTTTTTATAGATGAGTTGGCAACATAGGGGTCAAGTGTGATAAAACCTGTGCCTCTACATAGACGGAGAATTGCTGATTATCGAACGTCTAATCGTAGGAGAAACAAACAGACTAAATAATAAGTAGGGAAAGAGCGATTATAAAGATAGGAGACGAAAAATTAGAAGAAGTGGCCGGTTTTAAGTATCTAGGATAAGTCAGGACGAAAGAAGTAGTAGGGATACAAAGTAGAGGATATCGTAGGGTAGAGTAGTTGTTAAAGGAAACATGGACAGTGGGTGCGGTGGAAAAGAAAGGGTTAGAAGCGTTCAAAAAGTGGTGTTACTGGCGAATGGCAAAGATACTGTGGATGGAGAAGATTAAAAACGAAGAGGAATTAGAAAGAATAGGAGAGCAGAGGACTCTATGGAAGTCGATAAGAAATAGGCAAGATAGGTTAGTAGGACCCCTTCTCAGGCATGAACGTCTTGTCAGAGACATATTAGAGGTAGAACAAAGAGTTAGGAGGAGTAGAGGTAGATGTAGATTAGATTATTGTTCGCAAATAGTTAAGGATGTGGGTTGCCCTAGTTTCAGGGAAATGCGAAGATTAGCTCAGGATAAGAAACAGTGGAGGTGCGTGTTCAACCAGTCTTAGGACTAACGACCTTATGACGATGAATTAAATAAGTACACTACAGGCAGTACTACGTAAATGTGGAAAACCACAAAAAAGAAAGAATGTAAGTTACGTAAACATTAGTTAATCGGTAAATGAGCATGACCAGGATAATTGTAATTTTATTAATCTAAACATACCAAAGTCACAAAAAGTTTCACACCACACATTTACCGAAATCGCGAATGCCATTTTATGTCGCACCAAAATTCAAAATTCTATTTCGTGTGAAGCAAATTTGTCTGTAAATAACATCATATGGAAAAAAAATAGGCTCTGAAGCACTTCTATGTTGAAACTGTTGGCAAAAATTAACTCGCGGCTGAAAATCAGTTTCATGTAAATGATAAGGATGCAACAACTATTCTTTTACAATTCGCCACACTGTCATATGAGAAAAGCCAACGTTCCCTTCAATTCACCGTGTAGTACTTTAGGGGTTGTCTTCTATGAATTCCAGGATTTCGGTTTTTGCAGCTGCGATATGTTTCGGACGTAGGCCCTTCGCCCCTCAAATGTATGGTGGACATCACCGGTTTCCCGCAATTCCTGTACCGCATAAAATGGTTCGCGGGTGTCCAAGTCTTCCTTGAGGATGTTGATGGCTGTACAACTCGATTGTTGCATTAATGTTCTGATCACATTTGCTGTACACTAGGATCATATCACGAAGTTCTTTCATACTACACAATATTGTAATAACATAAGTGGCACAATGACCTAATTACGAATGGGCGATTGGAAACGTTAAAAGGACAAATAACTTTTGCAAGCTGGCCCCAACATCGTGAATCACACTTAATCTAATTTGACAAATAAGCAAACCATGAGCAAAGAAAGTAGAAAAGAAATTTAACACCGATACTGCCAATTCCCAGCTGATTGAAAGCGATGTTGTCTTATTATATTGATATACAGGGCCGGAATTGAATTTACCTGTATTTTCAAATGCATTTTTTTCGAAAACGGTGAACTTTCGGACATACAAACATTACTTAATTTTCATGTCATATAGTGCTCTATCACCTCCTGTAAGCTCGGCATTTATTTTTGTTAAACCCTGTATAATCAAAAATAAAATTGTGATACAGGTCTGACGAAGGAAGCTGGCGAGCGGTCGCGCAGGTATTTGCCCATTTATGACCTATTTGGGTAAGTCACTTGGAACCGATACACAAATAAGTTTTCAGTAGGCGTAAATTATAGTATTAATACAGATAGGATAGTAGCGTACTAGAAAATAATGTAAAAACACGACTTATCAAAAAGAAAAAATTAACGTATTGCTTTGGTTTTATAGTTAGTTTTCACATTCACTCTCATCATGGGAATCTCTATCACTGTCACCAACATCAACAATTAGTTCTTCCGTTTGTCTGTCTATTACTCGCTCACTGATCCCTATTTTTAAATATTTAATCTACGCCCCTGATAGGAATACTGAAGAAAGAGGGCTGCAATCTTTATACCTAAAACTGCCTAGTTTTGCCACCGCGCATCCACGCCATTTTAAAATTTCCGCCAGCTTCCAGCGTCAGGCCTGTACTCATCTGAAATCTAATTCCTTCAAGTTAATTTTTATTAATTCAGGATAAAGGATTTATAGGACAAAAAAGGCATTAATAAACTTTGAAGGTATCTCTGAGATAATTAATTAATTTTTAGTCAGGATTTCTTTAAAAAAGATTTTCTTCAAACTAGAGAGATTAGACAGAGAACGAGTTCAAAGAAATCGTGTGTATTCAGGATCTGCTCCACGATTATCAAAATTTCTACATGATATTATTGCGCAATCTTACAATCATTAAGTAAATAACGTAAAACCAAAATTTAAAGGTCTCAAAACTAAGCCTATAATAATATATTAATAGATATGTCTGTTATAAAAGAATTTGTTTTTTAGAAAACGGTTTACAAAGTTTTGTCTTGTTCTTACCGCTATTGGTTCAGTTCTTTCCTTTATACATCCTGCAGTAAATGCATTTGCTTTAATGATCTTTGGAGTACCTACAATGGGATTTTTGTACTACCAAATACACAGGTACGTTTCTGTTTCAATTGATAACATGTTTTTCTTAAACTTTAAACAATAACAATAAGCGTAAAAGATTAAGCTAAATCATAAATCTCTGATATAAAAGGAGTTCGATTAATGATTAACGATTCGGATGCAATATATTTTACCTATACCTACTAAAAAAGTAAAATAAAAAATAACTTCAAGAGCAGTCAATACAGTTGACTCCCTATAAGTCGTTATCTCTCCAATTGTAAATAGAATTCCACTCTAACTTAAATTACTATAACGCTAGAGCCCTAGCTACTTACAGTATTCGCTGTACAAGGTCTGTTCAAAAAGTACCGCGAATTATCTATATCTACAAGATCGGCCATGTTGAATGTTCAATTAATTTTTGACAGCTACTTTGCTTGCACGTGTTTTGACGCGTCTTCTTTTGCCTATTCCAAAAAATGGATCAAAGAATCTGTATTAAATTTTGTGTGAAAAACAAAATTAAGTGCATTCCGAATGTTAACTGTGACATATGGTGAAGCTACCTTGGACCGAAGCAACATTTATCGGTGGTACAAAATGTTCTCAGAGGGTCGAAAAGAAAAAGAGCGTGCCGGACGCTCAAGCACGTCAACAACACACGAAAACATTGATGATGTTAGAATACAACGATTTCATAATATGTAATGTAATGTAGTGTAAGTTCGTAGATTAATAAATCTAGTATTTTATGTTGCTTATTGTTAGATTAAGAAAACAAGCCATGATTTGTATTAACCAAAGTTTATGTTTCGTCTAGTTCAAATCCTGTTCGGAAAGTAGTTGTAAGAAAGACGTTGTAAAAGAAAGATTGTCAGTAAAAGAACATTGGTAAAAATTGTAACTCACTATTGTTTAAATATTCAAGCTAAATAAAATTTACTTTACTTCAATAATCAACTGGTTTTTTCATAATTGAAATAAATAAATCGAACA